CCTCAGGCTTGTGCTGGGCCTTCCGCTCCCTCTTTTCGGTGGTCGGATGCCCGCAACGCAAACAAGTGCGACGAAAAGTGCGCCCCGTGCTTCCCCGATACGAGAACTCCGGCAGTTCTGACCCTTCTGAGGCAGTGGCGGATAAGGCGGGGTCGCCTTTGCTGATTCCTTCTTGCTACCAGGCAGTGTGGGTGGTGGCTGAACAGGCTCATCACGAAGATGAATCTCACCACCCCTGAACTCAACCCATTGCACATACGGTTGAATATCAGGGACAAGAGACGACTCTTTGATTGGCCAACTGTAGAATTGTGGCTGCCCATGCAAGACGCCCCAACAAGATTTCCCCTTAAATTGCCCAATCTGAAGCACAGCTTCAAATCCCATGGGGCGCTCGACCGACGAAGGTGTGACATGAATACAAGAGTCGGACGACGTGGCGTCGTTTGCGCGCACCGTGGGCAACTGTGCCTGCGAAGGACGGGGATCCACTCTCACAGGCTAGCGACTTGATTGGTCGTAGGCATGTTGGGTGCCTTCGTGGGTTGAGCTTTGTTTGCAAACTTGCAAGCAGGGTCACCAGCCCAATGGCCAATGCCTCCACAGCGAAGACGCTTTGACTTGGGCTTCAACTTCGAAGCTTGGTGCGGAGTTGCTCGATGCTCATCTGGCTACGGACGACATTGCCTTTGCCTTGCCTTTCAAGCCTTTCTTGCCAAAACCTTCTCCTTTACCTTTGGCCTTGCCTGCTTGTCGATCATCGGCCTCTTCGAACCTCTTCGAGGTCCAACATAGCATTCAAGGCAATTGCTTCTTCTTCATCATCTAGACACTCGAGCTCCTGCTCCTGGTCCTCTTCTTCCTCATATCCATCGCCTAACCATGCGCAATCATCGTTGTCGTTGGTCTCAAATGTCTCTTCCATGTCTTCCCATGTTGACGACGAATGATCATCCCCATCTGGTATGATACATAAGTAGAACGGTGCGTTGCGTTGGTTTGCCTTTCCTGAACCAGAACTCTGGTAGCCTTTGCCCTTCCCAGAACTAGGCGAAGTGTGTCCTTGCCATGTCTTACCTCCTTCACGGAGGTGAGCGGCTGCATAGTGACGAACGAGAACCTTGCAGTAACCACCGAAGTTCTAAGTCACTGCGCGTGCCTTGGTGGAAAGGATCCCCTAGCGCGAAAGTCCAGGCAATTCCAATAGCAGTCACTGAGTACCATTGTCTCATCAAGCTCACGAAGTTCACGCCACCATCGCTTCCGGCGATTGGTGTACGAAAGCATGGACTCACCATTCTGACGGGACAAAGGGCCACCATGTCGTTGGCCTGCTCTGAACAAATGCTTGGCTTCCTCAGTGGCTCTGCGGAATACGACGGACTTCATCTTCCGCAGCAGTTCCTCTAATCCCTCTTGATTGGTCACGGCATCAAGTCCGATGTCCCGTGCCAAGAAGGCATCTCCACGCAGCCCCTCGAGGATCTTGTTCACAAGCGTGCTTATGTCTGGTCTCGTGAGGACTATGTGCTCTCCTCTCCTCTCCTCCTCCTCCTCCTCCTTCTTCTTCACTGGCAACCGTTGGAAATCCGGGAAGGTCCTCATCGTCCGGGGTACCTCCGTTGGTGTCTTTGGGTTGCTTCTTCTTTCACGACGGGGTCCGGAGCTAGCCTTCGGCTTGTTGTTCTCCCTCCACAAACGAATGCGAAGACGCGCGCGAATCTCCCAATCATGATATGCTGCGGCGTCACCGTAGTAGATGTACGAGCCCGATTGGGTCTCAAGATGGGTACTTCTTGTCGGGATTAAGGCGTCCAGCGACCGGCATAATGTCTGGCCTCAACAGGCAGTTTCAAGAACACTCGGTTGCAAGTTCTGGCACGAATTGCTACATCGGCTTTACGGGATTCTCCGGGATGCAGTGGGACGGAACCCGAACCCGCTCCGCTACCAGTGTGAAAGTGCACCCGATTTCGCCGTCCGATGTGCTTTTGTATGCGACAGCGCGCTCAGCTCAAGGGCCCTGTGAACCCAAACGGCGGCAGAATGTACCGGACAGAACTCGGCTATACAACGCCCGTCAAGCAGGGAAAATTCACAAAATGTTACATTCTCATTCCTGGCCAACTGAGCAGCATCAGGAACCTGCGCGTTCCATGCACATGTTCTCACTGCGGTTCACATGGACTCTTAGGACCTGTTACGAAATAGGCCAAGCCATTGGGGCCATAGGGGCACCAGCTGCCAAGTTGGGAAGATCGGTCATCTTGACTCACAAATGGGTTGTACTGGGTGTAAACTGATGCATATGGAGCTTGTCCACCTAAACTACACAAAAACCAAACCAAGTGAGAATTTAAGAAATCGCTTTAGACAAATACACAACCATGATCTGGCAGGATGTCGGTGATACCGCTGCACGTGCCAACCAAGTTCAAAATGTCACAAACTGTTGACAGTGCGGCTTCGTAGCAGTGGAAGGCGGTTTGTGAAAAGAGATTCCCTGAAGTCCTTGGCAAGTAGCGACCATGGTGGCGAGGATGTGAATGAGGGAAAGGCCTCAGTGCCCGACACAGCCCACAACATCCCACAACTACACGGCCTAGGCCTGATAGGTTGAAAAAGCAAACACATATTCGACATCCAAAGACTTTGTAAGTACAAAGAACTCCCAAAAATAGAAATGTATAATACTTTCCAACTCGAATATCAAAACTGGTGGTAACATCGGACATCTATAAAGATCGCATACCACATCATTTATTCCTGTTCAACTGATGGAGCATGGCAGGGAGCCTCTTGCACTGCATGCGATCGATTGCTGATGAGCCCGGGCCGGAAAAATGTCATGACTCCAAAGCCTATTTGCATGTTTCATCAACCACAATGACTAAATAACTGACAATAATGGTTTTCAATGGTTTTCCATCATGGTTTCCGATTGACTATATTATTGCAGACATGGATCACCATGTGGATTGGCCATGTCACGCACGTTCATGCTCAAATCAGCAGCTAGGAGTCAAATATGTTGACCACGGCTTCATGGACTCTACTGCGGAAACAGCAACCCAAAGACCGAACAAAACATGTTTTCAAACGCTGTACGAGATAGGAAAGCTTTAGGAAAGCCACGTGCTGTCCGCTCTTTGGTCCACCCTGTTCATCCTTGAGTCGCCATGACTTGGGTTTATTCTGTGCTTCTGCAGTCGTTGGTTGTCAACCATCATGTTTTCACATCTGTGGTTCCAAAAAATATGTATTCAGCATGTTCGATACCAGCCCCTTCACCCATCTGCTGCATCTTTTCTACAAGACGGTGGATAGATCCCAAATGGCGCTGGGAGCATTGATCAACTGGGCGATTGTCAAATTGCTTTGCGATTGGGGATTGCCTCGATGCACTCTGCATTTTCTCGCACAGCACGTGCGGCTTCTCTGACTGGCGCAGCATGCAATTTCAAGTCCGAAGCATCTGCAACTTTCGGGGCGTTGGGCTGTGGCGAGACTTTGAAACGTCTGGAAGCAACCAAAAGTACCAAGGTTGAACGACACCAACATTGCATCGGCTCTGCTGTGGCCCCTACTCAATCCAAAAAAAAACATTCGAGAGGAACGTGAAGTGCTTCTTCGGCACTCATGGGAATATCTCATGCCACAACGAGCGCATAAATTCAACAAATATAGTAACCTTTTACTCATGACCACGTAGGTTATATTCTGGCTTTGTCCCGCTTCCGAACTGCGACTTCCACACCCAAGTGGATCCGCAACAAGCCCTGCTCAAGTTGGTTATGTGTGTCATTTTTCACCCACTGAACAAGCCTTCGAAGATATGAAAAAGGTATTGTATCTGTTTGATATCAGTGCCATCTGCTGACCGTTCCCTGCTGGATGAAGTGTGTGAATGTAGGCCCAATGATAAGCGGAAAGTCAAACGTTTGTGCAGCCGTATGTTTGTCTTTCGCTCGCATTTTGAGCGCTGGACCGCAAGAGGTGGGGTCGCAACAATACCCTTTCACAACATATGAGCAGCCCCAACCGTCGAATAACTGACTTTCAATTGTTTGAAGCATTTGAGATTCATGAAACATTTGGCTTTGTAAACTTTCAAATCTGTTCATTTCTGCAATAACTTCCAGGCAAAATAATCTTGGAAGAGTTCAAGTGGTGTACAAATATGCAAACATCATTCATCTCACACTTTGGGACAGGTTCCATGCATCTGTGGCACTTGAAACACGAGAAGGAGTCAACTGGCTCTGGCTTTCCATGAGCCGATTGTCTTTGAGGGTTGACAGTGGTGCCAACTGGCATCACCATTATCGAATGTCCCAACATGCCATTCTGTGCAGTGCATTACATGGAACCAACATGCCACTGCTGGGCTTCGCGCAAATTTGCCCAGGTAGATTGCAGAGGGGATGTCAGCCTTGTATTGCATGGACTTTCTGATGGGCCGTGCTTGATTGCCAGTCAAGGAAGTTGCACCAACATTATGGCAAACACGCTTTTTCACATGGAACTTTGCACTCCACCATGCCATCTTCTGTCCCCCAAGGAGCACTGAAGATTTATGGCAAAATTTGTGGCAACTACAACGTGGGGAGAGGTAGGTTCCACTGAGAACGCAAGTTGACCGCATCTTGAACATGACGCATGCCCCACTCTGCAACTTGCTGAGCGACAATCCTTTTAAGGCCTCACAGCCTGCAGTGAGCGGGATGTCTTTTGCTCGCCAATGTTCAAGGCGTCAAGACTGACCTCCTATTGCGGCAAAGACGAGCAGCGTCAAACATCAGGAGCCATTCTGATCTCTGGTTTTCGCACCGACTTTCGCCCGTCTTTCGCGCGCCTAGTTTTATATTTTGCATGTTTTGTTGTCGCCGCTTTGTTGGCTCGGTAACTTTCGGCGACTTGTGTCTCGCAAGCCGTGCACGTGCCTTTCGCTCCAACAACGACCACTTCCCCTTTCCTTGGCGATGGATTAACTTCTCAATATGGAGGTCAGGTCGTCATACATTTTGCCACCATTTTGCGACTTGCGCTTCCATCCATGTGAACTTGGCTGCGAACCCACTTGTGGTACGCTCCGCTGTGCTCAAGCAGTTGTCAATGATCCTACCCAACTCTTGTCCATGTCATCTCACTTTCGACTCATAGCTGGCTTTCAAACCTTCCCGCAACTTGAAGCTACCATTTACATCACCTCACAACATGAGCATTCATCAGGTCGGCTGCAGGGGTCAACTGGGAATGGAGGCAGTCACACCAAGATTATGGGAGGGGCCTTTCCTTGCAGAGAACTCCGCTTTGCGTCATGCCTGAAAAGTCACACTATGTCTTGTCGACTGGGGAACACCTACGACATCTTGCATGTTTGTTTGCAACGGCAAGCTGGAAAGATATAGGCCACATTAAAAAAGCACGCTCCAGCATACTCGAAGCCCAAACCAAAGAAACATGACCGTATGTATCCTTGTACAGGAAACTCTGCGACATATCTTTCTACACGAAACTCTGTACCAAACAAAGCCCCATGAGTCCCATGAGAATGCAACTTGAAGAGTGTTTCTTTTGAATTTCCCACTTCCCCTGACCCAGATTGACGATACGACAGGACGTGGAGTGGCTGCACCATAAAATGAAGCATGAATTCGGGGACTTCTGTGTTGCCCAGCCTGAATGATGTTTTCCGACAACTGATGCTCCTCGCATGGGTGCAAAACAGACTGGCATAGCGAATGACTCTACTTAGGCTTTGCTCAAGCTCGTACGTGACGATGTTGATGCGTGCAGGCTAATTTTGCACAGTCTTTTCACTCTCTCGCTCAATGGCCAAATCTATTTGAGCCATCTCTAGGACGCCCTGCCAAGCCGCTTCGCTGGCAAATTCGAATATACTTTTGAAATTGTGAGATGAACTCCTTTTGGTTTCCTGTAGTTCTGTCAAAGCTTATCTCCCGATCACACTTGACCAACAAGCGGCAGACCTACTTGTATTAACATGATCTAGTCATCTACTCTGTCCAAACAAGGGGTTGTGATCCGCGTCCTCGAGTTTTCAATTCGCCAGCTGTTAAGCCAGCACACCAGTGTTGTGCACGACGGGCTCTGAAAAGGCTGAGGAACCAATTTGGGCCGAACGTGGCACGTCTTTCGAATCTGCACGGAGCTACCTGGCAACTTCCTGGGTCCCGCAGATGACGCAACTCTTGAACCAGCGGGCTTCACTCAAGCTCGTACATGGTATGTTGAGTGCAGTCTTACACCTCTTGCTCGGTCTCTTGGCTCCATCTCAGAAGTGAGCCTGCCCGATCCCTGAACCACCCGTGGACCCAACACTCTGAAAACTGGCATGTCAAAGACGGTTCCTTGCCACTTCTCGTTTCATCGGAAAACGGTACAATTGCCTGTACCAAAATCATGGCGGTGAAAACCAGCAATTTCAAATATTGTTCATTTATTTGCGTTCGACGGTGCACTATGTTTGATCCTGTCGAAAGGCTTTCCGCAAATCGAATGATCTCGCCTCGAGCAGTTGTAGTCCTGTCGCAGCTTCGTTCCCACCTACACTTGACCACCATCCTCATGGACCTGGAACCTCCTTGTGGCAAAAGCATCTGTTTGGCGAGACACATTTGCGTTTCAATTCCATGCGCGGCCTTCGGGCCTCCCCGTGGCTCCAGACTCAAACCTGTACTCGGCCCGGAACAGGAATTAATATCAGCAGGTCAACTAGCAGTTGAGGTCGTCATCAGCAAACAGCTGAAACTCAATACAGGCAGTTGAAGGATTGTCCAATGTGTGAGAAACGTGTCCTGTGTGCTTGCCAGATTGAGCGCAGTTAATGAGCCACCTCGCATTGTCCTTAACCTTGTGTATGCCAAAGTGCCTCGCAAGCCCCTGCGCTGTCACACGAATGCGCTGAGTTGAACGCTCCAGCGTTACGTGGCATCTGACGTTTGGGCGTCCCAGGTCGGACAGTAACAAGTGCCTTACTAGTAGTAACAAGGACGCTACTAGGGGCTCCTGGCATCGCCACTTGGAACAAGAAGCTACGTTCGGGGCTCCTGGCCTTACTACTAGGAGCAAGGACGCTACGCTCTGCCCCGCACCTCTGGCTCCGGACGACCAACGTCCCCGTCGAATGATCTACTTCACACAGCTGATCAGCTCAACCAGGTGAATTCTTAAACTGAGGCACGGAACTGGGCACGTCATGGGGTAGGTGACGTCAAATCTAAGAGTGACTATCCAGCAACCGCGCCACATTGATGGCAGGGCTGGCTTGCAAGATTTGCTCTGGCAGTCTGCCCCATCTTTAACTGAGCCTGTGGCGAGGCACACTTCCAGAAAGCTTCACGTGGCTGGTTGAAATTAAGTTGTGAACAAATGCAAAAATTTGTCTGATGTAACTACGACTGTGCTATATCAATCTATATTCGAGTGTCCTCTTGCACGATTCGGTCGTAAGGAACATCCCTTCCGACTGAGACCTACCACGCCCAGGTAGTGAACGTGACCGACTCTGGAGCAGGCACGGAATTCTAAGTATCTCGGCCTTCAAGTCTCCAAACGCATTTCCAATCAGGTCAACTAGGTTCTGTAACTGGGTCAAGTCCGCAAACATTGAAGCAAGGATTTGGGCACATCATGACATGTCTAGTATCGTCCAATTTGTGGAAATTGTTTGCGAACAGCTACCAGCATGGACCATGGTCACACCAACCGGTGCGACAGGGGAGCGCAGGCTTAGCTCAAGTGCATGGCGAGGTTGCAAAGTGCTCCGATCTCGAGGCAGTTAGATCGACGCCAAGAGTGCTCAAGGTTGGTTTGCCGTCTGAGTCATCTAGGGCCACTGGCAATGGAGGGAGTCTCACCAAGATGGCATGCATTTTGCGCTACAACCTTGTCTCCAAAGGAACGCCTATGAATTGCAGTAAACATTGCACGGAAAAGGCCGGAACATGTGGACTTGCACCAGGCTCCAGAACATTGCCCACAACATCAGATTCGAAGTACGTGGCAGTTGTGCAAGTCACACCAGACATTATGGTAGGCATGTTGTCCAACATGGAACTCTGCACTCCATCAGGTCCAA